TTGTATTTACCCTAAACGCTAAACCCGCTCGGGTATGTAGGAGCTTTGTACTGTAGGGGGTTGGAGATTCACTGGTTCAGTGGTTGGTTTTGATGCCTCTAGAGGAGCGTAACCCTGAACCCTAAAACCCCAAAGCCTTAAACCCAAAACCTTAACCGGCAGCCTAACGTAAGATGTTTGAGGGCTTTGGGATTTTCAGGTTTTAGGGGGTTGGCTTGCAGTTTTTTGGGGCTTTCGCGTTGAGGGGATGAGGGGATGAGGGTTTAGGGTTTAGGGTTCATCTTGTTAATGACAGCCTAGGCAAAACCAAAATCTTGCTCAAGACCTGGTCAAGGGAAACCGGAGTTATTGCCAGGCGATACCCTACAGCCCCCTGCAGTTACGATTCTTGAGAAGACTAGTGTTTCGTAATGTACCAACCTAGATAACTTAGGATGCCACAACAGGGGTCTTCAAAAGTAGACCCTAAATCCAAGACCCCAAGCCCTGAATCCTAAAAACTAAATCCCAAAGATTTTAAATCCTAAACCCCCAAATCCTAAATCCTACAAACTTAATCCCAAACTCTCAATCCTAAACCCTAAACCCCTTTGAACGAAGTCGGGCAGCTGTTAGGTTTGCTCATGCCAAACTATATTGATTTGGGTTATATTGGGATACTGGAAAAGAAAACGGAAACTACCTATAAGGCATCATGTAGGGTTTAGGGTCTAGGGTATAGGGCTATACTGAGGTTATAGTGGGATAATGGTAAAGAAAATGGAAACTACTATATTCTTATAGGGGAGATATGGGGTTATTTAAGATTATTATAGACATTCCATACATTGGCCTTTGGGAGGGTTATCTGGGATATGCACGGGTGTTGAGTGAGCACTTTTCCTTTTGGGGGGTCCTGAGTTCTTTTGGAAAATGAGCTGGAGGTTACCGAATCCCAGTAGAATTCCAGAAAATCGGCTTTTGGGATATGCAGGGATACGTAGAATCTGAGCTGTAGGGTTTCGGACATTAGGGTCCCTTTCTTGGGTAGTCCCTATAATAAGGAGAATGGTTTCTTGAGGTCTACTTTGGGGTCTCTGTTTCAGGAAATACCCAAATGGAAATAGGCTGTGCGTAGGTAATGTTAGTTTGGGCAACGGTAAAGTAAAAGTCCAACAGCAGATTTGCCCTGAACCCTAAACCCTCAACCTCACACTCTGCAGAAGTGCCTCTGGCATACAACAATGTAAGGGGTTACAATAGTACCTCCCCCAAAGGTACCCCCCCAGTGTTTAAGGAGCTAATAAGGACTATATGGGGCTTAATAAGCCTTAATAGGGTTCTGAATCTGGGGGGGGTACCTTTGGGGGGGGTGGGTACTATTGTAATTCCTTACAATGTAGACCCCCAAATTCTATAGTCCTTACTATGGGGATCCCCAAGAAAGGTACCCCTACTTCCGGGAAACCCCCTGCTTCCGAGGGAGTTTTCAGAGTACGCCATATTGGAGCTTTCTGTGGAAGGTATGCCCTCAGCATCAAAGGCCCAACCCGCATGTCTGTGAAGGAGTCAAATCCATCACTAAAGAAACCCTGCAATACCCTAAACCCTAAACCCCAGATCCAAACCCCTAAGCCGTAAGCCCGTCAACAACATCTTGAAGAGTCGCAGGATGATGATAGACAGCTTTACCGTTTAGGGTTTAGGGTTTCGGGTCTAAGAGGGTTTGGCCCGCAACATGACATGCTATCTGTGATCTGTGTTTTTGAACAGCTGCGTTAAAGTCAAGTCTGAGAGGACAGGGTAGCACCCGGCAGATAGCCTTCCATGGTGCGTCGAGCACGGTCTGCAACAGGATTGGCGTGGATACTCGCTTGCTCGCTGGCTCCTGGACTACTTGCTTAAAACCATCTTATCAATATTCCTGATGTCATGCGTACCTTAACTGTCCCTAATGTTCTACTTGTCTAAGACAAACTTATCAATATTCCTGATATTATGAGTACTTCAACTGTCCCAAAGGCTCATATAATATAATACAATGTAATAAGATGGAAATATATTAGACATACTATAATTTAATATAGAGTTTAGGGTTTGGATTTGTTTAGGTTTAGGTAGACTTCCTTTGCCTCATGAGATGCCGAGGCTGGGGATCCCTAGAGTAGTACCCTTTTTAGAGTGCCATGGGGATCCTTTTCTTCCCTTCATCACAAACCATATGTCAGCTTGTAGGTTCAGGGTTGAGGGGTGTAGGGTTTTTAGGGGTTTAGGGTTTAGGGGTTTAGGGTTTAGGGATTTGGGGGCTAGGGGTTTTGGGTCTTGGCGGAAAAGCATGGTCTGGAAGACATGCTACATAGGGATTCAGCAGGGACTTCCAAACAAACCCCTCAACCCTGAACCTGCAAGCTGACATATGGTTTGTGATGAAGGGAAGAAAAGGATCCC